CACAATTGTTGAAAGATTATATCATTTGCCGGAAAGGCTGCACTTTGAGTGAAGACTCGAAACCGCTAGGAATGACAGGCGTATTATGGCCAGCACGATTCATCGCCGATCCAAGAGATCCGGGTGATACCACCACCTGAACGAAATCAACAGAATCCTCTGAATTCTGCATTCTAGCTAACACTCGAAATGAAGCAGAGCAAATGCATATTTAAAGATAAATTTTGGGGTTACACAAACAAATGAGGCGGAATTAGATATTGAATTTTTCAATCCGTTCTTAATATGGTGGTGAGAATTTCTTTTGGGGAAATAAAAGATACCTGAAAATATGTCTGTAGATATCATTCATCGAATAACTTCAGAAATGACTTCAGAATAACCGAAAATATGCTCACAGATGCAACGTCTTTGTCCATGGCCTGAGTGTTGGATACTGGTCCACTTAGAAATCGACGGAATTAAACTTACGATCACACAAACAGCGATGAGGCAGCGAATGTGCAAAATCTCCTTTGGGCATCACTCTCCAAGTGCACAACTTAACGGACGTGAACCCTGTTATCAGTGACGTGCCGTGTCTAAGGAACAACAGACTGAGACAATTACAATTACTATGCGGACTCCGATGGAACACAAATTTTCCCTCATTTGTGTAAAAACACCCTGGGCGAGCCGGCGACCAAACAGTCACAGAAAGAGGCCCAGAACAGAGACCAGAGACAGTTGGAGATTCATCAATTTGAGTTCTTTGCACGCGCAGAGCGAATAAAAGTCGGATGAAACATAGCCATACAATACAGCATGTGCGAATGCAAAAGGAATATCCAATTTTTCGTCTCTCTCGTCCTGCTCCTTCTTTCGGACGTTTATACGTAGTCTGTAGAATGGATTCTGCAAGGAGTCTACAAACTGGGTTACATGTTAGCGGAAAAACTCCATCTGACGACATACAATGGCCGCTGGTGAGTCTCGTGAGTAAATTCACAGCTGAACACACGAGCTTGTGACTACCGTTGGAAGGCAGGACGCGATGTATGATTAAGATTCTTTTTCGCTATGCTAAAATAAATCTGATAATTGATTCCTGACGTGCAATGATGGCTTAGGCACGTATTGCCAATGCCGCCAGTAAGGAAAGCGAAGCAACTATTTCTTGCCCAACCGACTAACAGAAGTCCCACGAGATGCACAAGATCAACCTGGTGCAAGTGTATTGCAGGATTTGTAGTAGTTTGCCCTAGTCTCCCGTTGTACTTTTCTGAAGTTCAGACTTTGACACAGGATCGGGAACTGATCGGGATGGAAGCACTGTCTCTCGCGTTTGTCTCCGCGTGAATGGAGAAGCGATTATGGAAGATGAAGAAGATGCAGATGAATTGATATCCCACCATGAAGACAGCTTCGTTTTCTTTTTGTACTCTTAAATTTTTATAATAACTATTACAAAAGTCAAGAACATGAATTAAATCCTCTTTATATCAGCCTGATCGAGGAAATGAACACCTGTTGCACGACAGACATCAAGTTGTTTAACGAGTCATGTTGAGTATGCATGCATAAAGTAGTGTCTTAAGGATATACCATCTCATCAACGCTCTTCACCGCATTCTTAGAGTTATTTTGCAACTTTACAAATTAGTGTAACGATATCAGTATTGACGGATAGCAGATAACGCACTGGTTATTTACGGCCGGCTGTATCGTATTTGCGTTAGACACGGTGGAGCTTCAAGAAGAAATCAAGTAGCTGTAAGAAGAATTTCGCACCATCAAATTAGAGGTCAATATATCCAGGACAAAATCGATGTGAAATGAGCACTGCTCTGAGGGCTGTGTCTACGCGACTGGAAAGAAACTGGATGAAGTTGCCGGCTATTTGTACCTCGGCCGTAGGTGGGCGGCATTAACTCGTCGGACGGTGGAAG